TTCAAGGCATAATATTGAGAATGTTTTTCTACTTGAAAAATTTATTACCATGAATACAACTTTCTTTGGAAACATGTTTCATTCCACCAAAATATCAATTGATAGTTAGTGTAAAAGTCAACCTCGAGGTGTTCTACCAGTCCTTGTACAAGTATTACTCCCCATCCACTTAATAGAAATAGACTATCTAATCCAATCTCTTATAATCAGTACTCAAATATCTTACTAATCCCATCAAATCTTTTGTCAGCCCTTCCAATTCTCTCATATTTAGAATATTTTCCAGTCACTAAAGATGGATAGAAGAGTTCAAACGAGTTGCAGGTATAATCTAAACGAAGTAAAATGAGGAATGGAAAACTTCCCGTCACATTGCCAAACTACTAACATGGACTTGGGGATTCAAAGAAACACAGGTAATCTATTTTCGGATAAGGAAACAGGTAATCTTGATTTTGTTCTGCCTTCTTATTCTGATCTTTATGTTCTTGTACTCATCATCCAATAATATGTTTTATCTCCTATCATTGATTTCTCAAGCCTTTTATCATCAATCTATCTTACATGGATGTTCCTGATAAGCTAGAGATCCAAAGTGCAGAGATGCAATTAAAGAAGAGATGAAGGCTTTACACAAAATCAATACGCGAGAATATGTGAAGCTAACACCACGGAAGAAAACAGCTGGATATAAATGGGTTTTAACAGTTAAGCGACGTGTTGATGGACGGTGAATAGGTGCTAGTGGATTTACTCTGGCCTATGGAGTAGACTGCCGGGAGATAATTGTCTCAATACAAAGATGAATTTTATGCTGGTTTTATTGTCCTCGAGCTAACCTAGAGTGACATTTACATCAACCGGATGTGAAGAATACATATCTCCATGAAGTAGTAGCAGTAGAAGTTCATGCAGATGTCCTCAAAGTTCTAAGGTAATTTACGGGACAACGAGGAGTTCACATTGAAACAATCTTTCCATAGTTTGAAGCAATCTCCACAAGAGAAATTTGAAGAGTTAACAAAATTTGTTCATAAGTTAGATACTTACAAACCACAAAGCAAAGGTTACGAAACACTATTCTTTAAACAAGATAAAATTGTAAAGCTACCATTCTTAGTTTAAATTGATGATGTTATTATGATGGACAATGATGTGAAGAAAATTGAAAATTTGGAGCATCATCTTGCACGTAAATCTGAATATAAAGATCTACAGGCCTAAGGTATTTCTTAGGTATTGAAAATGCTACATCTCAAATAGGAATCTTCGTGTCTCAAGAGAACAATAAGGATCTTTAGAAGGATGCAGGTAAATTGGGTCACAAGCTAGTTTAATCTCCCAAGGATAAGAACTATGAACTTGAGACAGCATTAGAAATGGAGATAGTTAATAAAAAAATATATCAAAATCTAGTCACCAAGATAATTATTGTGTTATACCAAAGGAGACATGCCTTAGCAGAAAGTGTAATTTGTTAGTTTATGCACTCTCCTCGTAAAGGGCAAAAGAAGAAATAAATTAAGAATTTGCGTTGCTTAAAATGCTCTGTGTATTAAGTTTGTTTTCCCCTAAAAGTAATCATATAAGCATGGAAGCATATTGTGATGCAGTCTGGGCTGGCTCCATCATAGACAAGTTGCCACACTTTCATTGGTGAAAATCTAACAACTTGAACAAGAATTCCGTCAATGCTCCACGAAGACCATATATTGATGCCATATATAGGATCTTACGAATAAGTTTAAAATAACCCAAGAAACCTTATTGCGTCCTAGGCTAGGAAAAAACATGCTAATATGTTTGGACCAGTGACAATTGACAAATCCCGAGAGAGAAACTAATGAAGAAGTGCACACATCCTGGGTTACACGTGCCTGAACAAGTCAAGGTGTAAGCCTTGACAAATAGCACTCAAAGCATAAGCTTTGAAGCTCTTAAGTCTTAACTAAGGCTTCACATGAGGCGCACATCAAGGTGAAAGCCTCTGGATCTATTGAAAATGATGAGCCTAACCCGTCATCATATTCATTTTCTTTCCATATGATCCTCATCAAAATCTACAGCAGAATCGATCCTAAGCAGGTATATAAGAAAGGTTGAAGTTTAGTGGCCTCATAGTTTTTAATGGTTATTGATATGTCATATAGCCTAGACTGTCTTTTCTTCACAGAAATATTACAAAAAACTTAAATCTGGAATGTAAATGAAGTTATAAACTCACAAGCTGGGAGGTCGGATATATCAGCAGAAACTGCACATGGTATTCCCAAGTTTGAGAGTGCTCCCCTTATAATTCCACAAGGAAAGTAAAGATGCATGCCGGTTGCTTGCACTGCTTTATTTTCAGCCATTGCTGAAGGGTCTTGAACAGAAGCAGATGCATCCCGTGATGGATCAACTGACATGTGTGCTAGCCACCGAAACTGATTGTCTTGCAATACAAAAGTACCCTACAGCGAAAAATAACTCAACTCATAAACATCTTCCTTTAATTAATTTGAAATACAGTTCAGATACTCGTACATACTCTATGATTGGTCTTTAAGTTATCTATTTGCTTCTTGAAGAGTTCAGACCAAAAGTCCTTGCAGATGAACTTGATAGCCTCCAGGTGATCAGTGAACCTTGGTCGATCAATCGTGTATCTGTCAGAAAACGCATGATATCAGAATGAGCATAAACATCAGAACTTGAAACACTGGAAATCGCCAAATATGGTGAATTGAAACATCTAATATTTAGATGAGATCATAACTTAATTATTTCTCGTGTACATTATTTACTTTCAGTACAATGCTAAAGATATAATTCAAATAAATCCATGTGGCTGCTTTACAGAAAAGAATTTTTTTTTTACCACCCTTCTCAAAAGAAACTCAGAACGCATATATGCACAGGAAGTGCCAAACTACCCTAACAGACGAAACAGGATAATGAAACAAAATCAAAAGAACAAAACCCAAACAAAAGATGATAGACCACAAGGAATTACTTAAGTGAATATTCCTTTTTAAAAAGTCATAGGATACACAAGCATACCGATAAACTGAACAGAGTAGCAAAAAAGGATTCATATCTCAACCGCTTAGGGAACAAGCCTAGATTTTGTATATAAAAGCATGATGTCTTCTCTATCTAAGAACTGAGATGTGATTTGCAAAAATTGGGAAGTATTTGTACGGCATGAGAATCATTGCTCTTTTCCTTTTTTTATTTTAAAGAGAACAGCAAAGGGGAGGTTTGATATGACTGAAAAAGAATATGCAGCTTAATAGGAGTCTTGGGTGCCATGTAACATTTTTTGAGGTGATGTTGGTTTATTTCAGTTATGTTTTGTTGTCTGTTTTATCCGTACATATTATTACACTGAATAAAATTTTTACTATCTTTATGAAGTCCAAGTTTACAATTTTGGTGCAATTTCTGAGGTTAAAGGTGCCGAATTGTTATCCAGAGCTATGCAGAAGGACCAAACGCATGAAAACAATTCAATAGTGGAGGCAACTTCAACCAAAAACATAGAAACAGGAAATGTACCACCTGACACAGCCCAATGATTGGCTAGACCAAGGTACTAACGAAAAGACCATCACGCCTCTTTATTCTTACTGAATCCTCTATGTAAGAACTAGTACAAGAGAGATAAGCTGATCTACTCACTGTTATGAATGCCAGAAAGATTAGCAGTATGTGAATACCACACATTACACATGCTTGTGTGTGACTGTGACCTAATATTGAGAATAAAAATTATCCAGCCCCAACAATTTATTCCTTAAAAAGCAGACATCACCAATGAAAAATTACCAGGATTTGCTGATATATTTTACTTTGTTGAATATTATCATGTGATGGTGTTAGGAATGAATCGATGTCAGCTTTTTCTCTGAATACAGACAAAACAACAGATCCACTGTCTGAAGCAATATTAATGAAAGTCCTATCTGAAAAGTATGTAATTCTCATGTTGCAACATTCACCTAAACCATTATTCTATAAATAATCAATAGAAAAGTAGGTATAAACCTTTTATTAATACAATATCACTCCACCAAGGAGTTATGAATCAGATTTAAATTTAATCACTGAAAATACCATTATCTGTTTAATTGTAAGGCATAAAGGTTTAAATGATATATACTAGTGCAATAAAAAAGTAATGGCAACAAAAGAGGCTCATATAACAAGGTCAAAACAAAGACGAAGGATAATAATACACAATTCTGATCAGTGGTCATCTTGAGAAGTATATTGCACTCAGAAAATATTGGCTATACCGGAAAACTGTACAGACGATGACACAACTTGATGAAATTGCTTGATGCTAGATCATATATGTTGATGGTTTTATGAGTAATGGTAGACGTAAGAAACTCACAGCAATTCAACAACAGTGAAACAACTGGAGTAACAAGAATAAAGAAAATTATATGCCGAAACTCTTATGCCCTTGTTTGGTTCAGCTACAAAGTTTCAATTAAAATCTAAGTCAAAATCAACAATTAATTTTAACCACATATTTGATGGGACACACAACTTTTCATCCATACTTTTCATCAACTTTTATCAAAATCTATTGAAAATATAATTTTTATCTAAACCAGACAGGGGCTATTAATTATTACTTTATTGGGATTCTTGTTTATAATTATTTGCTATGCTTATGGTCTTTGCATGTTCGCCCACCCTTCCTTCATCAAAAGATAAAAAGACATGACCAACCCTACCTACTGCATAAATCGCAATGAATGGTTCACTGAACAAGTATAAGAACCAAAAATTGGCCGGTTAGTAAAAAATGCAGTACGCTAGGAATAGCTTCATTAAGCCCATGTTTGACAACCATTATTTGAGTAAAATGGAGTTTTGAATAGTGATTTTTTTTCGAGAATATGTGATTGAAAAGCACTGAAGTAGTTTGAGTCGTGAAAATGTCACAGCTTATTACGTGAAGGACCTCTATTTCAATTTTGTCCGACAAAACCTGGGAGCCCAATAAATTCTAAACTACCACAAATCAAGCAACATTTCAAAATCAAAATTATCTCCGAAATATATTAATAAAATGAAAAGGGGTCGAAATCTTATTGGTAATTGCATAAATCGAAAGAGTTGAAACGAAATTTACCTTTCGGAGAGTTGGTGACCGACCTGAAAGCCAATAGCCTCGATCCTTCGGGCAGCAAGCTCAGGCTTGTTGGCATAAAAGCCATTGCAATAAGAAGAGACAATCTCTGTGAGTAGACTCTCCAAACAGCTCTCTGATACTTCCCTTCCCATTTCCCGATTTCTGCTCAGCAGGGACTGAGTGGGTCATCTGAATTCTCCCGTATACAAATGTCATTTGTAAATTGTAAACGCGCTCTTTAAAGGTGCACTCTCGAACTGCGCTTTTTAAAAAGAACAGCCAAAACTAAAAACCATTTAATTTTATAGCGATGCCCTCAATACAGGACTTCTTACGGAGGCCTTACAAGCCTCACATGTGGGGCGGACCCCATATGTATTTAAAAAAAAAAATTCCCCAACCCCACCTGCTGTGTCTGGCTGAGCAGGGACCTGTTTCGCAGGTCCTTGTACTCCAAGCACGATCCTTAATTTTAAGGTTATTTAACAAAAAAAAAAAAATGTTTATCCTTGACCACCCTAGTGATAATCATCCCCATCATTTTAATTTAGACATTTGCACTCACATATTAACCTTTCAATTTTGATTGTCTTGCAGTACATTTTTGACACATCAACACATCATTTAACTTTAATAATGGGAAAATGTCAACATATTTAGGTTTTGTATGGGAGGGATTAAAATCGGATTAAAATTGAAAATATAGTCGTTATTGTTCACTTTTATTAGACGAGTGGAACTCAATAACGGCCATATTTTCAATTTTAATTGGCTTTTAATTCCTCCCGAACGGGGCCTAAGTTTTTATCATTTTAGCTTTTGGCATTTTCTACGTCCCATTGTATGTTTCTCAGGCTCAATTTTTATACAACTTACTTGTGTTGATAGGGATTTCTGAGTGCTGTGAAATTTCACTAAATAAAGTTTGCCGACCAATGAACTATTTGTTTGAATTTACTGCACGGTATCCGCATTTGCTTGTTTGATGTATACTGAAATGGATTTTTTTTGGCACTGTATAGATGGGTCCAGAGAGAGAGGTCAAAAAAAGATCAGAAACAAATATGGAGGCTGCTGCTAATAAGGCTTGTGGAAATTTTGCTAAAGAACTTGAAGATGAGCTTTTGAAGTATACGGTCAATCATGAGGATATCCAGAAAATGGATGCTCCCTTGGTCGATCAAACCGAGGCAGTTCATAAAATTGCTGATGTGGAAGTCGATGTAACGGAGTGTACAAAATCTGGTGGCAATGGAATCTCTGAGGTGGAACGCCAGGATTCAACTGAAAACTCAAGTTCTTTTGATGACAGTGATTCTGGAATCGAGAGTGGTAATACTGAAGTCGTGTCACATTTTCATGATGAAGGTACATCAGCACTGGATTTTGATGGATTTGGTGAAATATTTAGGATGAGGTACTTTTTTCCCTGCACTTATATTCCTTAAAAGTCCATTCATGTAGTTTTCAAAATCAGAGCATATACCCTTCATACACCAAATAATCTATGCTGCCATTCAGGGTGTGTTTGAGCCACAATATTTTGGATTAGTGGATTGATGGAGAATGTGTGGTTGAAAAAGAAGGAAAATTTATTGATGTGATGTAAAATATTATTTTCTTGAAGAATGTGTGGATGAAAATGAGTTGAAGAATGAAAATTTTAATGTGGCTCAAACAGGTCTCAATGCAATTTTTAATGATTTTTATGAAAAAGAGCCAGCCACAGGTTGACAGATGACCCAAGTTAAAAAGGAATTAATCGAGCATTCCTTCTGTGTTGTGACAGGAGATGTAATTGGATCCTGCCCTTTTATCCTGTTCATCTCCAACAAGAGCGCAGGCTAATGAACACATCCACCCGTTTCTTTGATACCTGAAATAACTATTTCCCCTCCTTGTTCAAAGCACTAGCACATAAATAACGGAACAATCTGTTGAATTTAATTATGTAATCCAAAATTCCCTTTCATCTTTTTACCGAGTGCTTAATTAGACCTTGTTTGATCAGTTTTAAAGTAGATTTTGATAAAAGTTGATGATCTATGTGATTGAAAAGTTGTGGGACCCGCGGAATATGTGTTTAAAATTGATTGTTGACTTTTATTTAGATAAAATTCAAATTTTAATCACTACCAAATAGATGCTTATTATATCCTTATTTCCCTTCATCCCACATTTATTTTATGTACTTTTCTCATCCATAGGAAGAAAAAATTGACAACTCATTGGAGGTCATTTATTCAACCTCTTGTGTGGCGTTGTAAATGGGCTGAATTGCAAATCAAGAAGTTCCAGTCTCAAGCAAAAGAATATGACAGAAAACTTGCAGAATATACACAACAAAAGCAGTGTCAATCTCAGAACTTGACATTGGAAGATGGTGTGAAATCACTCCCTTTCTCCTGTAACAATGTGAGAAGTAAGGTCCTCAAGCGGAAGAAAAGAAGAACTGAAGAAACAACGGATGTAGCAGCGTATATGTCACGTCATAACCTCTTTTCTTATTATGGTATGTATTTCTTCTCTATTGCCATCAAATACAAATTTAGATTGTTTATGTCAATTAAGATTTGATATATGGCACTTTGCAGAGAATAAGAAGTCCTTCGCTGAGGTTGCTGTCATGGATGATGAGTGGAGAAATCCAGGTTAGAAAATGGACTTTTGCTTCATCTTGATTTTGAATGTCATACTGCTTTAGTGTACATGTTGTGTTGAGAACCTGTAATGCTGTACTGTAGAAATTATATTTTTGCTTATATGAATACAGATTAATATGATTATGTCCCAAGGTTAAGCTTTCAATATGTGTTGATGACCACAAGAATTTCTCTCTCTCTCTCTCTCTCTCTCGTATTTTCCCTGAAGTAACAGTCACCATAAGTCTGCAGGTCTGTGAGTCTCCTGTGGGGCATTCCTTCCCCCTAGGAAGCATGTGCCACATTTTTTTTTTTAAATAATGCATCTGGTGCTTGTTCAATTTAAATTGTGTTAGTAGGGCCTGAATTGTAATTTGTGATTGTTAAGTTTTGGAAGGAAATGCCCTCAGATTTGTTAAGCCTTTCTCACTCAATGTTTCCTATAACTAAAATCTTTCGTATCTTTTAGAAAATGAAACTGGTTTTGAGAGTAAAAGAAACCAACAGATTTAATTACTGAAAGGTAAAGCTCTTAGATTTTTTAAGCTTTTCCGACTCCATTTTGGGCCAAAAATTGACCACGCTTCTTTTAAATAAAATTGTGAAAATTACACACAAACCTACCTTTTAAGTTCTCATTTCAATAAACAGGCATTAAGATTTATCTTTAAAAATCAGGTGTACCCAACCCACCCCCACACCCCACGTGCCCCACATCTCCACCACACAAACAAATTTATGATTTCCCTAGCAAAATCGGCCAAAACTCCTCTCCCTTTTTTTTTTAATCTCCGCTACTCTCTCAATCAACCTCAGTTGTGGGGTGTTCAGTGTCATGGAAAACCAACCGATGCCTCCCTTCTCCCTATTGGTGGTGCGATGTTAAGATCTGCATCGTGCTGGTGAGAGATCTACAACATCTTCGAGCGGCAGCAGTTTATGTCAAAATCAGGATTTAAATCTGGGTGGTGCGATTTGTGTGGCTGTGTGGTGCGATTTGCAATCCCTTTGTGTCCGTGTGTTGGGTTTTGATGCAGGTGGTGACGTCGGTGCGATGGTGGTGGCAATGTGGTATGATCCGTTTGTCTGTGTGTGTACATCTGTGTGTGAGCTGTATGTTAGATTGTTGGTGCAAGTAGTGTTGGTGGTGCAGTGGTGACGTTCTTGGACTGTGTTGGGCTGTTGTTACAGGCGATGGTGGTGTGATGGTGTTGGTAGCGACGCTGAATCTATGGTTTGAGCTTGTCTATGGTGGTGGCGGTGAGGAGGCAATGGCATTCGTGTGATGCCAGCGGTGGGGTGGGGTGGGGTGGGGTGGGGTGGGTAATTTGTGATCAATGAATTGGGTGATTGTGATCCGTTAATTTAATAAGTTGTGACCAATTAAATTGATAATTTGTGACACATAAATAAGTTGTGATAAATTAATTTGATACTTTGTGACCGGTAAATAATGTGTGACTCATATATAAGTTGGACCTATAAAATTGTGATTTGTGATTGAGAAATAAGTCGTGACCTATAAAATTTGAGATCGAGAAATAAGTCGAGATCAATTAATTTGATAATTTGTGCCCGATAAATAAATTGTGACTTCTAAAAGTTGTAATTTGTGACTGATATTCTGTGATTGTGATTAGTATATAACTTTGATCATAAATTGTATGTTATTTTGACCTTAACCTATTTAATTAATAAAACTTATTAATTACCTATTTAATTAATACCACCAGATTTTTGAAAGAATTCCATAAGTTTGTCAAATGGTTATTAATCTTTCCATAAAATTGTGTCCCTTTCTTTAAAAAATGACGAGAAATTGAGTTTGTCAAATAGTTATTAATCTTTCCATAAAATTGTGCCCCGTCCTTTAAAAATGATGAGAAATTGGTTAAGATAGTAAAAGAAACCAACACATTTAATTGCTGAACAAAAGTTTGATCAGGTTTCAACTTTCAACCCTCACCTTTTCGCTGCACTGTCAATAACGTTCTCTCTCCACCCACAATGCCTTTTGATAGTTGGTCACTCCACCCCGGCTCAGTGCTCTTTAACCCTTCTCTGTTTCATCCACCTCCACTGCCGTGTGCCCAATTGAGAACAATGGAGCGCTAGGTTTGTTTCTCCATTTACTTTATTTTTTTGTTTGTTTGAATGCAGTAGCTGTATTAGCAACATGTTAAAGGACTGTTGGCATGGTGTCCTGCTGCTAAAAAAGAAAAGGGGAAAATACACACCACCTGCATATCTGACCCATATCGGAAACATGTTGGAGCTTGTAGGAGTCCAACACGTATTGGACACTAACACTCCGGCATTGGTGGTGAGTCGGTGCTTTCTAGCTTTCCCCTGACCCTCAAAAGGGAAAAAAGGAAACTACAGTCAAGCTACGGATTTTGACTGAATTTATTTCTCCCAATTCTCAAATATAAAAGAAAATAAAGTTTTCTGCTGGATCCTTTAGTGTCCTGAATTTTATTCTAATTGGTCAGAGCTCCATCTTGTCGAGGTGAATCAATGGGTTTGAGCCCGTGATTCCTCACTGATGCAATGATTACATCAAACCGTCTCTCCCTTTCCAAACAGGGGCCCTTGCAAAGGATATACTTTATTTCTGAATCTTAACATCGTGTTCATAATGGAAATGAGTATTTTTTCCTGCTGCCTTTCTGTTCTAGAATGCTTTTAACTGGAGTGAGTTGGCTGTCATTTTACCCTTTCCTTTTGTTTTGTAATGCTTGTTTTGATCTTAAATTGTTATGACTGATTGTGCTTTTGAGTTTATTAATTAATCTGATTATAACCAAATTATTTTTTTCTTTTGTATAAAAATGAGATCCGCTATTACATGACAGAGTTTTGTGTTTTCCAGCAATAGCCACTGAGAAAATCAACTTTGATGATGACTTTTGGGCAAACGATGAACTGCAATGGCTCGAGTCCGGAGACGGTGATAATTCCTGGGAACACGTACTTAGGAAGATTGGATATTTACAGTCACAAGTCAGCAAGATGAAGAGTAGAGTTGACAAGGTAATGAGTGAAAATGCAGGGAAGAATTCTTCCACAGTTGACTTGAGCTTTCTAATGCCATCTAATGCTTTGGTTGGTTCTCCTCGAAACACTGCTTCTCTTTCAAACAATGGGGACAGAATGCCAGTAGGAAGTTATATTGCACCTCAGCTTCTATCGGAGTACAATATGGGCAACATTGTTAAGCGTGAAACTTCAGGTTTAAGTCTTGGAGATGTTCCTGATGTAATTGAAAGCACTGATCAGTCCGTTCTTGGAGATTCGTGCAAAACTGTAAGTCTTTTATCTAAATCCAATCTTGCTTTCGCTCTCGATACTTTTTTAATTAGGCACTTGTTTTTCATCTATATCTCAAGAACAAGCTTTTCTTATCCTAATAAGCTTTCACCCTCGTCACTTTTTGTTCTTGTTATCCTTTCTTTTTTCAGTGAAACACCAAGAAAATGTGTAGAAGTGATTTTGGTGCGTGAAATCCTATATATCATTGTACTGCGTAAACCTTCCCGTGATACATATGTTGGAACCAGCTGATCTTTACCTGCTGCTCAACTCTTTCCATGGGTATAGGTGGCTGATGATATTTTCCATATCAAATATCTTAGGCTTGAATATAGCTTTTTCTTTGTACAAAAATAAATTGAATTTAGCTACTCTTACATGATTGGTGATTTTCTTGCTCTAGGTACATGATCCACAATCATATTTCTCATCAACTCACACCCCCCCCCCCCCCCCCCCCCCCCCCCCNCCCCCCCAAAAGGTGGTCAGAGATAGGTTACTGCCATACTGAATGTGAACTTCCATTAAGCTTTTGGGTTTTTTGTTCTTGAAATGACCCTTAAGAATATATGTTATAATGAATTTAAAAAGTGGCTTTTCTTGAGCTGTACCATATCGAGCATTGCTATTATTAACTTCTAGAAGGGCAAATACTTGAACTCTTGGGAACTAAATTTGTTTATACAATCTCAGTCATGTATCTTTTTTGTTCAAAGTGGATATCAATAAAACCATGACTTGTGCAGGCTGAAGATGACGTGCTTATCAATAATACGAGATTGAAGGAAGATATGAATAATTTTGAGGAAGTCAAGATTCAGGCTATCCAAAAGCCTTTGGTACTGAATGATGGGTCAGGTAGCACCATCCCTCCACTTCCTGCAGACGCTGATCAGGCTACCGATGATCAACCACCACCCAAACTGCGTTCTATTTCAAAGATTACTGCTCCTAAAATTAGAAGGAAGAGGGGACGACGAAAAGGTTCTGGTCAGTGGAAACGAAGATCCTCAGCTTAGATGCCTAATTTTTGGTTACAATAGTTTCTCTCTGATCAAAGAAGTTTGGAAGACACAGGATATTGATGTTAATTGCCTTGTGACCAAAGAAATTTGTTGAGTGTACTTCAACCTACCAAAAGAAAAAGATCCACATCTTTCTCTCCTTGGAAATGACACAGTACAATTCTCCTTTCTAGTATGTACATGCTGAAGTTGCTCTATTGTCCCTGTGTATTTCTGTTGGTAAATATGAATGCTTGATGAAATTAAACAATCGGGAATAGTTTCCATAGACACGGAAAATTTTCTGAATAATAAATTACATTTATTTGCGTTCGCTGTTAATAATTGAACAATTGATTAATTGATACAAGGACCATTTATGCAACCTGTTGATCTACGCAATGTTCTGGCACATCATAGAGATTATGCATTTTGCTTTTTATATTTATGAGGCAACGTGACCAAGAATCATCTTCCGGGATAATTTGGCAGAAATGAGAGCCAGCACTGTAGCCGAGGGCACAAAAATAACATCGGGAATTGCTTTGATCAATTTAAGCTGGGGAACACTCTCGCCCGCTCTCTTGGCCGCCATAGCAGCCGGAGGTGTTGCTAGTCCGGCTATGAGGGTAAAATCATCCAATTTGCTAAGATTCACCTTCGTCTTCATGAATTCTATTAAAATTTTCTTCTTTTCTGACTCATCTGCCTTTCCCCATCCCTCGAAGCATACCTATTTTTGCTAATTTCTTGTTAGTACAAGTGCACGTGTACGAAAGAGAGAGGCAGAGATAGCGAGTACCTGAACTTCCTCTGGTAAAGGAACATTATAGTGTTTACCAGGCAATGCTGCATTCACTGTCCTGAGAAACAAATTTAAAGGGAAATAGTTTTATTAACTGGAGTTTATGTATTTTCAGAAATGGATAAATCTATTAATGGAATTGGTACAATTTTTACTCGAAGATATCAAGAATCGCCATATGGAATTTCTCGAAATCTGAGATATCTTTCTCCATGAACTGCTTTTGAAGGGTTCCCGTTAACATACTTAGCAACTGTGTTGTTGGCAAACCTAGCATAAGAAATTACAAAATGGATATAAAAATTACATAAAAGAAAAATGAAAACATGATCACACCATCATGAGATAAAGATTACTAACCTTTTCCCATGAAGCTCATGAACATCCCCATCTTGCGAATAGTAGTATGACTTCGTGTCGTGTGGTCGTGACCTATATATTGAGAACATATAGGTGGGTGGTGAAAGCAAGGTATCCATTATTAGGTTCCAATTGAAATTTGTAATCTGATTCCTAGCTTTAGCTTTAGGGCATGCTTGGGAGTTACGCCGTAGATTAAGAGCGTTTTTTAAAGTATCAATTTTGAACGTTTATGAGTGAATTGATTTTGAGTAATTTTAGTAGCGGTTTTTAAAACTCTCCAACCCATTTTTGGGAGTTAATTATTCATCAATTCGGAAGTTTTTTTATAAGAATAAAATTATGTATGTATCTCTTAGTAAAAATTTCTTTTATATGATGTTTTTTACTCATAACTGATATTTTACTTATAGATAATTTTTTTTACATATAAGTTGATATTTAATTTAAAAAATTAATTAAAATTTTAGGTTAATATTTTTCACTTATAAGTAAATTTTACAATAATAAGTGAATTTTATACTTTTCAATAACTTTAAGTGATTTTTTTAATTAATAAGTTACATTATTTTATTTTATTTTATAAGTGAATTTTGTTTTATTAGTAGTATTTTTATTTTATAACAATTTTTTTTTACATAAAAGTGATTTTAAGTTATCTTATCTTACAAGTAATATTTTACTTATAAGTATTTTTTTTAATTATAATATAATTTTTTAAATGATGAATAATTTTTTATTTACAATTTAGTTTAGAACAAAATATGGTTGGAAATATTATTTTATAAATGATACAATTAGAAGAGAAGATGAGAATCAATTAAAACTTGACGATTTGGCGGGTTGAGAGAACTTCTCAAAATTACACTACACCGATTTTGGGTGATTTTTAAACCATCTAAAACCGGTGCCAAAAAAAAAAAAAAAACTAACAAGTACCGATTTTTTCACCTCCTCATAAACGGTGCCACCCAAAACTCGTGAAAAAAAACTCCCATGGAAAACTGCAGCATAGGCTTGTGCATGATGGTTTATATCTGTATTCGTTATTGGAACTCCTTTTCTTTGCATCGTACATAACGTTTAGTTTGTTGGTGCCTTTTTCGAGATGTGTCCCAAGCATATTTGATGGGTGGTGTTTAATAAAAATCAAAGAATTTCTTCCAGAAAATCTTGGCGAACGATGTCTCCATCTATATAAAAGAATTTAAGAAGCGTGACATGATTACCTTAAGATATTCTAAATCTTGTAAATAAGGAATAAGCTGAGCATAATTGTGCTAAAACAATGATTTTCTCATAAAGCAGATGGGATGAAGATCAATGTCCGAAAACAAATGTGTCTACTCGTGCTAAATTAATAGCCGGAAATTTATTGCAATACAAATTTATGTAAAAGCAACGGAAAAATAAGAAGGGAAGTTCCCCTTAAAACATGGAAAGAGAAACAAAAATTACAAAAGTAAACCGTCTTAAACAGTATAATGGTTGTTCATGTTTTCCACGTCTAATCCCCTCAGCTTGGCAAAAGACTCCACCTTGCCTTTGAGAGTGCGAATTTCTCTCAGCCTGCATAAGTTTCATATAATAGTCAAATTCCTTGTTTTCTATATCTCAAACTTGTATGTTCTAAGAGAAAACAGTTCGTTGGTTGTGTCCTGTGTGCATGGCGTAGGGGTGTGTGTGTATGTGTGTGAGTCGAAGCAACATATGTTCATGCAGCGAGCACTCGAATATACATCAGACCGACATGAATTATACGTAATATGATTTTCTCGTGTTTAATGTTTTTGTGCTTGTCAAGAGGATAACCTTGAAATTTCTGCACGCCTTTTAGCTTCTTCTGCCATAAGATTAATGTCCCTAAAGGCGCTGCGCTCGAACATTTTTGGTTCACCGGATTGAAGTCCATGCAGTGTCCGTTGCTCAGCAGCCCATGCAGCCTCACGAGCTTCCCTTCCAAAGTCCTTTCGGTTGGTGAGTGCAGTCTGATGAGGTGAAACAAAAATGCAGCTGATTCAGATGACCGTCATTTTTCATCTAAAGAGTTTCAAAATCAGTAAGATATGTTTTATCCATGACTGTAAGTGAAAAATGATTAATATTTTCTTTTTCAGCCATGAGTCATACAAACTTTCGTTAAAATTATTCCTGTCTAAAACTCAGCAGTTTAGTAGTTTATGAATGCTCTAACTACATGAATATTTCTAATAGGATGTGTTTCAAAGACTCACTCTTTGCTCCACAACGAGACCCCAGGCTTTTCCACTGAGTGCATATCGAACGGCAAATTTGATGGGATCAAGAAGAAAATAAGTCAGTGTGTTGTACAACCAGATCACACCGGTCCAAGCCCAGCCTATCTTTCTGATTCCAGCAAATTTGAGAGTTAGAGTGGCAGATAATACTGTTGCAACCTGCAAAAGAGAATTAGGATCAAAATTGTCACGAGGATAACAAATATATTGTCTTAAAGGATATCTTACAACTTTCAAATAACTAGAAGCTAAGAAAAGTTAGATTGTGTAAAGCCTAATTATAGTGTTAATCCCTCTGAAGCTTCATTGTTCCTGTGACTGGGTTTGGGTTTTTCGTGCACGGCTTAGGTGGAAGGCGAATTGGACACATTAAGGGTAAATTAGTATAAATCTGTGTTCTTTGTTCATTTCTGATTTCTCTTTCATTTATCATTTCTCTGGGGATTAAGGATCTAGAATCTATATTCCCAATTTTGAGTGGTTAAGTTACGCTGGAAATCCTTGACTTACTAATGTGCAAGAACAATCCAAAATAAATTGGTATGGCAAATTCTTTTACCAGTTGTGCAATAATGAATGCAGTCACAAGCAGGAGTCCCGGCCGTTCGGTAAATGACCATCCTCGTGAGCGAGTCACAAAAATTAAGGCCTGGCTGATGGTGCTGACTTGAAGATAAACTGCAGATGCCATCATTTCATTGAGTGGGTCTGCTTGCGTTTCATTTGTCATGTTAAAATGGTGCTTGTTGAAGTTCTTTACATGGAAAACATTCTGAGGAAAGGGAAAATATGAGAAAATGATGCAGAAAAGCAAACAAAAAAGAGTTGATTCACATTTTTGTATATTTAAGAATGCAATTCCCAGAAGTGGCTTACGTGGAAGAAGTCTGTATCATATGCTGCCCAGAAAAATATTATAGTCATTAAAGCCATGTAACCTCCGAGAACAATCCCAGTGGCGAAAATCTCACTGAGTTTCCAACTGTCTGGAATTGGAGAAGGCTTGACCCTGTCTTTAGATATTGTCATGATCGTACCTGAACAATATAGTATTACATGTTAGTCAAGAAGTGCCAGGAATAACAGAATTCAAGGGAAATGTGAAAACCTGAAATGACTAACCATCGTTAAGGATGGCTATGACAAGAACCATGAAAGGAGGGAAGTTAAATTTCCAGAATACTGTTAACAGCATAAATCCTAACTGCAAACATAAATTCGATTTCAATAAGATCAGAGAAAGGAGTTGTCTTTCTTCATATAATAATGAAATAATACATATATTCTTCAGAGAACTTACCACTATACGTATAGTGATAGACACAGCATATATCTGGAGAAAACATAAATTTTTTATTCCTGTTCTATCATTTGTCTAAAAAACTGAACTTGTTAATGTTGAAATGTTACATTACCGTGTAGTTCTTCATTCTTTGGAAGATTGCACGGCTTGTTAAGACAGCGCTGATGATTACGCTTAATCCAGGTTCTGTCAGAACTATATCAGAAGCACTACGAGCAGCATCAGTGGAATCTGCTACAGCTATTCCTATATCAGCTATTTTTAAAGCGGGTGCGTCATTTACACCATCACCAGTCATTCCGCAGATATGCTTTCTGGCTTGTAACTTCTTCACAATCTCATATTTATGTTCTGCAGATAATATACAAAACAGAGTCGGCACTAAAGGACTCGATAGTTGACTTGTAAACAAATCACAACAAACTGGCCTTATTCCCAATAAATTTGAGGTTGGTCATGTGAATTCTTTTTCACCATTCCATTTATTGGTAAAATTGACTTTCATGTCATTCCAAAATTATGCAGTTACAACAGAACACATACCAGGGAAGACACCAGCAAAACCATCAGCCTTCTCAATGAGTTCATCAACTGGTAGAACTGCAACAGATTCATCCTTATGGTCACCGAGCAAAGATGAAGAAGGGTACATATTTGAGCCCATCCCGAGCCGTCTTCCTGTTTCCTTAGCAATTGCCAATTGATCACCTGCAAAAGATTTCCAGTAATGAACTTCTAACTTGGGTGCATGATAAGGCATCGATGCTATTATTCTTTAAAGAAAAGAATAGCAAGCTAAAGACTAAAAAATTTGCATTCTGCCTGACTGTTGATCATTTATTACCTGTGATTTACACATGTACATTGAACCTTCTGTAATATGTTCAGAAACCTATCTAAATATTACAATGGCTATGAGATTTAACTAGAAAATAGTAACATTGGGGATTGTGAAATCTGAAAAAAATCACATATGAAGTGCAATGTGTGCTGGTTAGGTTGGCCCACAGACACGTCATTTATCTATTCCAAGATATTTTTGTAATAGTTATGTATCTACCAATTATATGCAAATTATTTGGATTAAATAGAACATCATATGTCCATTAAGAAGCAGTGACACAGACCTGTTATCATTTTGACACTCACACCAAGATCAAGAGCTCTTGTAATTGTTTCAGCACTGTCATGACGAGGTGGGTCGAAAAGTGGAAGAAGGCCAACGAATTCCCAGGGGCTGCCGGGACTGTCTTTGGTTCCAGCAGGTACTTCCTAAAGGTGAATAAGCTTGATAGTTCATAATTATCGCCAAGGGAGACATGGACGAAACAACAGAGTTTCAAAAGCTATACTACCTGGCGTGCCACTGCAAGGGAACGTAGCCCACGTTCTGCAAATTTTTCAATTATGGAATGTACCCTTCTTCCAATTTCTGATTTGTTATGTGCTAGATTAAGAATCTAGAGAAAATCATGTCAAGAACGTCAGATATTCTGAAATAAATATCGTGGCAGTGAAAACTGAAAAAAATGTTAGGCCTTGTCTATTGTACTACCTACCTGCTCTGGTGCACCTTTGCTCACTCGATGCATTTTACCAGCTTGATCTATGTACGTTAGAGCTGTCCTTTTGTCTGTTGGATTGAATGGGAGGAAGTGAACTTCTGTGATTCCAGCACGTGCCTGGGAGAAAATAGTAAGATAAAAAGTAAATCAATAAGTAATAAAGGAGTGAAAGTATTTATCAGCTTCCAAAATTAATGAAACAAATGACTCGAGTTTTATTGAGTGGATATATTTTATGCATGAGAAGAGGAAGATTAAAGATCCCTGTTCATAAATATCTTTGTACTCCCAGCCACCAAAATATTGAAGTAGGGCGTGACGGGTCCATATTTTAAAATCAAAATATCGACTTTCATATTTGATCACAATTAGGAAAAAAATCCCTAATATTATCAATACCTCCTGTGGATCTGCCAGCATTGAAACAATTGCGGCGTCAATAGCATCTTGGTTCTCCAACCTTGATGCTCTTGCGGCCATCAACACTACTGTATCCTTGTCAACACCTTTTGTGAAAACCTGCAATAACATGGTCGCATCAAATAGACAGAATCACAACATTGGCATAACTATTGAGGGATATCAGATTTACTTCAACATTACAGCATTTCATTACTACAGGTCTACAGCCTTTACCACAAGCTATCCCTCATCTCATAGGCTGCATTCAGAATTCCATAAAGGGACACATTGATTACATATGGATCCCATGTTCTTCAATTGATCTTAATAATTAGAACACAAATCCCGGATATATGAAGTTGTAACATGCATAGGAAGTGTGTTTCTAATCCAAAGCTATTTATGTGAAATATTTTCTTCATAAAAAAGGGAGTAACCTCAATCATATTCTTATCCACGGTAAGCTTGTTCAGAGTTAGAGTTCCTGTTTTGTCACTGCAAAGAACATCCATCCCAGCCATTTCCTCGATAGCAGTCATTCTCTTTGTTATGGCACCCTGCATTAAAACATGCGAACAATCTTTCAGTAATACTTTCAGCTTCCTTTACAGAGAAATTAAATTTATTTATTGTTCTCTTGAATCTTCAGAATAAATGTTCCATGGTTGTGGTCTTAATACCTGCTGAGATAAGCGATGCGATCCAATTGCCATGGTGACAGAAAGAACAGTTGGCATTGCAATGGGAATTCCACCAATGAGCAGTACAAGAAGATTATCAATACCGGTACGATAATTCCTCCCTTGAATGCCGTATATTACAATAATCTCAATTACCATTCCAATAGCGATTGAGCAAATGCAGAAATTTCCTATTGAGGTTAAAACCTGAACATTTGAATAGTTTTAGAATAACAAAATCCTTGACATCAGATAATACGGTCCACATAGGGCTATTACGATTTGCCGTCACACCAAATCTTTTGTCAGCAGTTTTGTTTAAGATATGGAAAAAGGTCTAGATATGAACCTTTTGGAAATGCCCAACATGTGTGGTGTTTTCCACAAGATGAGCAGCTTTTCCGAAGAAAGTATGTACTCCAGTTGCTATAACGATTGCTTCAATTTCACCTTGCTTGCATGTTGAACCTGAATACACCCCATCACCCGTGTTCTTGGTTACTGGAAGTGATTCTCCAGTGAGAGCAGACTGCATGAAAACTAAGAAACTTAAACCCAAAATTTTAATTCACTTTAAGAACAATCATTTACAACCACGATGATGTTTCATGCAGTAAAAAAATAAATAAAAATTGATAGATAGGCAGTCATAAGCAATTTACAATTGATTGTTAGGATTAGAATTCTGCTTTGCAAGTCGGTTAATTTTGGACTAAGGACTGTATTATGATTTCAAAGTCAGTCATGCTTTAGCTTTTATTTTCTCTAGGATGTAAAATCAAATGATATCTTCGAGTGATGAAAATTTCTTTGCACAGAATCAAATTAGTTCTTGCTAAGCTAAGCCAAGCCATTTCATGTTTAATACATGACAGATCAAACAATGAAGGTTTTGCTTTGCAATTCAGCAGATACAAGTGTAAAGATTAATTCCATAAATTTGGAAATTACTTTGGAGCTTAAATATGATCTTATAGGTCGAACGTTATATGCATATTAAGCACCTGATCAATCTTTAGAGGATCTCCTTCCATAAGGCGTGCATCTGCTGGAATAATATCTCCAAGTTTAATACTAACTATGTCCCCAGGAACCAACACTGAAGCTTCTTCCTCACTCCATTTCCCATCTCGAAGAACCTGGAGTTAAAATAGATTGAAGCATTCCTATTTATGGTTGAAGATTGATAGAAAATATGATACTAGGGCGAAAGTTGTTTCGGAAGAGCAAACCTTGGCTTTTGGAGCTAATCGAGCCATGAGAGCTGCTGCTGCATTGCCAGCATTATTTTCCTCAATAAAACTGATTGTGGAGTTGATAAGGAGCAGGATAATGATGCCAACAAAGTCAGGAAAATCCGACGGCTTGTGCTGCTCAAAATAAGGTTTATCAACGCATAGTCAGTACGGTAATAAACTTTATCTATTTTAGAAAGTTCAACAATCCAACTTGAGAGGCTTGCTTAGATATTTCTCAAACAGTGATATAGGAGGTGAAATAAGAATTGAAATGATCCTTACTCCCCCGTGTGCAAGAGCAATGGCCATTATGGCTGCTGCTTCCATCACCCATGATAGAGGATTCCACATAAAGCCTAAAAATTTCAAAATCTTGCTTTCCTACAGAAATTACAGCATAAATAGGAAAGATCAAGGTATGAAGAACAGAAAAATAAAAATCATAGATGAAAAGGCAGGCGAGTGAGGGAGGTGTTGCAACTAACATTTTTTTCTTCGAGTTTATTGTATCCAAATAACTCCAATCTTTTCTGAACTTCATCTGAGCCCAAGCCATCTCGTGTGCATTCGAGACATCTAAAAACTTCATCAAGAGGTATATTTTCCTGCAAATAAATTGTAGCCTTGAGCGAAAAGATCAATAGCATAAAAATGAAAAGGCTGATAATAATACTATTTCCAACGTATTGCTTCTCCTTGACAATTTTTTTCTGCTTACGGTACTATTCAAGACCCCAACAAGAAACAGCTTCAAAATCAGAATCGCATTGATACTTAGACGCAAAAATCATTATAATTGGTAGCGGTATGATCAGTCTCCTGAATCTCTTCTCAATACCAGATATCAAATTTCTTCATTTTTTCAATATTTCATGTCAAAGCACTTCCATTTCTTGTATTGAACTACTAATCGCAAACCATTTATAAGAACACCTACCAGATCAACCTCTTCCTTGACAACAGCTTCGAGTGCAATAGACTTGTCCTCCATAATTAAGTCTTTTATGGTTAATTTCCTCCAACCGGCAAGGTTCTATAAAGATTCTGCATTTTCAACAAACGTTTCATATAAACTTCACATTCCATCGCTAAAATTTACAATTGCCATTAACAAAGTTGGCTCACAGCACACTCTTTTCAATAATTATACAACTAACATTCCAAATCAATAGCATCGAAAATAAATTTTAGGATCCGCACCACAATAGTTGAAATCGAAAAATGAAAAAACAATATCCAATCGCAAAATTCAAATTATCAGCCTTCCAATCCAATATAAATAAAACATAATTTCTCAGCACTCCCATTGATCCTATCTCAAAACCATATTGAACAATAATCCCCATTAGTCCAAATTTTTTGCAAATACTATTCAAGCATTCATGATACTATAATATAGTTATGAGTATGACTAATCAAGAAGAGCACTTATTTTGTCTACCACCAACAAAACAACATGAATATACATTTAGTAAAATATTTGGGAAGACACTATAATGAACAAGATTTTTACTTATTTTCATTCATTAATACTATAGAGGCTATCAAATCGTCCCTACCAAACGTGCCGTACCGCATTTTTTTCAATAAAAACAGATTAAGAATGGTACCTTGTAGAGTTTAAGAAACTAAAAATTCTTGAACAGGAACTGTATCTCAGGTTTACAACTTGAATATCCCAGAAATAAAAGATTTGCTAGGACCCTCAACGTATTCCCCAAATCCTTTGATTTGGCGATGTTTGAGAGGAACAAAGTATTTCAATATTGGAATTAAGGGTAATATCTATATATATATATGCCCAATTTAGCATATAAGCATAAATTAATGTGACTTTGGATTGGTCGTAGGGAGAACTAAGTAAATGTTTGCATGAACAAGAAAAGGTTCCAATGTTCCATATAGTATCGAAAAATTGTATCAGACAGCCGGCAAAGAACGTTGTTGATTGGCTGTAAGAAATAAGACAAAGAATTTAAGGGTGTCATTTCTTAAAAATTAAAAAGAAATACTAAACAAGAATTTTGAATGTTAGTTTCGTTGCCGCCATGCGAAGGGGCTGAGGCTCGTTGGATCCAAAGACCTGCAAATAATGTATCCACGTGTGTTTCTGTCGGGATGCCAACAGATAATTAGTTATTATTATTTATTTACTTATTTATTTTTTTGAACCCTGGGTAGAAGTTGAAATTCAAATTTTAATCTAAATTAAAATCAATAATTGATTTTAATAAAGTGCTTTATGAAATTCACAATTTTTCAGTCACATATTTCATCATTTTTTTTTAATCAAAATTTACTAAAAATCTTATTTTTGTCTGTCCTAAATTATAGATCACTTTACAGTATAGTTAATTTCTTAATAATCTAATATATCCCTATTTAATGTGTATTGTTAACATTAATATGATTTACTCCTATTTAGCCCCCCTTGATATACATTATTATTTCATTAAAATGAAAAATATGACCGTTATCCATCACATCAACATTTAAATTCAAATTTTCTATCTATTATATGGGTCCCAATAACAACTATATTTTTCATTCTATTCTACAATAATTTGGCTCAAACAGGGCCTTAAATTATTATTTAGTGTAGGAGTATATTAGAAAAAATATAAGAAAAATATATTTTTTCAACTATATTAAGTATATTTTCTTAATTACTGTGAAAATGAAAACAAACGTATCTTTGTGGGACGGAATGAGTATAAAACCTTCCCCATTAAAATAATCTTTTAGCTAAATTAATCCATCAAGTTGATGAGTGGATCATTCTTCCATTAGTCGAGTCGATAATCTGATTGATTGTATTTGTTTTCTCTTTTCTCCATCTTCATATATAAGAAACCATTTAGAAATCAATTTATTACCTTCACTCTGTGTCAAAATCAATTGAGTTGATACTATAGGTGAACATATGTATATTGATAAAAAGTTAAAACAAACAAGAAGTTGATGTGTTTTGAGAAATTTTTTTTTAACAGAATGCTATTTTTATTTTTGTTCCATTAGTTTGATATACTTCTTGAATTTCTTAGTCCCACTTCTGCCATTCAATTTAGTCCATGTTTGATGGTCATTATTTAAAAAAAAATGTTTTAAATAATGATTTTTAACAGAATGTATGATCAAAAAGTAGGAAAAAATTTTGAATATACATGCAAAATATTTTATTATGTAAATGTATGGTTGAAACTGAGTATGTAGTAAAAAAGTTCTCAAATAATAGCCATAAAAAAGGGGCATAGTCGATTTATTACACGATAATTTAAATATTAATTATATATGATGCCCCACTTCCATCAAGAGAATAACTTGATTAATTTACAATAATTTAGACAATTCTTACTTGTAAACACGAGTTAAGTATTTTGGATTAACCGATTAAAATCCAAAAAAAAAAAATGATTTTTATTTTTTTTAAGAACGTATGATTACAAAGTAAGAAAAAATTATAGCTATTTGAAAGAATGTGAAATTTGATAAAAGATAAATTCTAAAGAATCTATAATAAACAAGAACTAAATACAAACTAAGTGATAAGAATATTGGAACCTTGATAGGTTAATCATAGATTTCAACAATGTGCTTCTAAAGATCCTATTTAACATTGTCCGTATTGCCCGTTCAAATAAGTACGAAAGAATCTACTTAAGTACATACTTTTTTGATTAAATACTTGGACTCATCGTCTTTAGAAAATGACCCAATAAGTGCCAACCCTATTTGGTACGGTCGCTAATGACATCTTTCTTGCTTAAATCATTGGTTGCATAATTGCACTCGAATTTTCAAGATGAAGAAATAATTTTTTTTACCCGTACAGGGAATCTGTATTGGCAACGTGCATCTCCCCTTTACAGGTACCATTTCTCATAAGGAAAATTCTCGATGTACATAATTTATGTATATAGGGGTGTCACACCCCTCACGTGAGGTGGGACCCACAAAACACCCCCTCACATTTTGTGGATCTCACCTAATGTAAGGGGAGGGGTGTGGATACCAATATGTATATAAATTATGTACACATACATATCCATTCTGATAAACAAAATGCTTGATGTAAAGTTGGACTACCTTTTAAAAATACGATATACTAGAAATGTTGTGATATCGATTAGAATGTTACAAGTATATCGAAATGGACAATAAACTAAACACATAATTAGAAAGCAAAAGACAATAAACTAAACACATAATTAGATCAAATATTATTGTAGCTTGATGGTAAAAACTTCATTCTTCTATTTTATAGACAAATTATGAACTTTAGCATTAAATTTTCCTTACTTGAGATGGCAATCTAACTTTTCAACTAGTAAACTTAATAAAATACTTTTCTTAAACCAACTTTCATATCCAATATCAAGGATTAGTACTAGACTACTAGTAAATAGGATAGGATAAAAGAAAGAATCTCATTCACTATCTAAAAATAAGTAAATCGATCTCTCTATTACATAAGAAGTTTATGGTTCCACTGGTACAAATCCAATCAAATGATTTTAAGATCAAAAGCAATTATCTTTTATGTTTCAATTTTAAGAATTAATCTATATGTACAGTCCTAGATTAACAGTTTCACCTGTTACGTTAAACATGAGTGAGCTGTGTCTACGCCTATGTATGATATTGGTGCGGCTTATACACATGGAGCTGGTGGTGGATGGATGGTTATGGCGGCGTTAGTGCAAAATACAATTATTGGGATACTGGTTGTGCCGAAGAGTAGGGTGCTGATATATGAGAAGATGTGTTCTAAAATGCTTGCTTGGGGCATTTTTAAAACGCCTCGCACATGGGTCAAGATAATGCAGTCAACCCATTTCGTTGAACGCATATGCACCCTTAAACGCAAATGTGTAGTGTTAAAAAATTGTGTTAAAATTAGTCTGGCAAAGTCCAGCTCATTTTTATAACTTAAAAAGCAAATAAAACCCAAAAACGTCAAATTAGCTCAAATGACTCAAGCTTGTGAATTATATACATCAACCTGTATGGTTGTGACGTTTAGGAAAAAAAATCAAAATCAACTTTTCATAGAGTTGCAATCTTTCTACACAAAGCGTGAGAACCCTTCGATCTTGCTCTAGTTTTAGTAACAAGTGAAGCTATTAATGATTATTCTTGGATCGTTGATAGTTGTGATGATGAGGAGAAAGTTGAAAATGATATCTTATTATCTAAAAGAAATAATAGAAATTTTCAAGTTAAAATACGGGAAGTCGATGATGATTTTGCATTAGATGACACGAAAAATGACTTGGATGAATAGAAGAGATTGAATTGGAATTTGATAAAGTGTGAAATAAGATTTAGGGTTTTTTTTTTAAAATATATGTTCGTGTCTAATATAATTGTAGGATTTGATTACCAAGTAATTGTAGTATTTATAATTTTGACTAATATATATATATATGTATGCATTATTTTTATATTAAAAATTGCAAAATGCGTAATTATGCATATATTTGTAATGCTTGATGCTCAACCAAAATGCATTATCACATTACACATTTTAGAATCTTGCTAAGAAGGAAGAGGTGGGTGGAGTGAGAAGAATAGTGAATGTGACCAATTAATTGTTTGGCATGTGATCTATCAATTATGTGATTTGTGATTTATTATGTGATATAACCACAATTAAATTAGTGACTGTGACTAATTAATTGTGTAATTTATGACTAATAAATAATTTATGATCTATTACTTGTAGATTTATGACTTATTATGTGAGTGTGACCCAGAAATTTTGTGGAACTATTTAATTTAAATTACATATCACAACATTCTATTAGAGGTTACAAGTATGATTACTTGATTTTTGAAATTTTTTATCAAGTTCTTAAATTTTGAAATTGTATTCTTAAACATTTATAGTTATGATTTTTTCCTTATAAAATATTGTTGATTCCATTTTCAGGTTCTCTTCACCATTTTATTTGTATTTTTGTTTATGGTTAACTCAAGGTTGATTACCCC